AAAAAAAAAGAAAAATATATTATTTTTTTTTTTAATTTTGGGGGTTTTGTAAGGAAACCTGCTGGCTGCCAGGTTGTCGAGGCAGGTCTTGATGTATTGGTTGTAATAATCGATTTGCTCCTCATAAAACAAGGTCTTGGCGTTGAGGCCCTCCAAGGTCTGCCTCAGCTTCAGGAGTTCTCCCTCTGGTTGCGGATGTCCTGGAGGAGACGAAGCCGTACAAGAAAGCCGATATAATTCATTAAGTTTTACCGAAGCACCAGAACAGGATCTCAGGTGGGTTTAGAGGTGACCTCCCAACTCAGCATCCCCCCAGCCCACCTTGGCCAGCTCGTTGACGAGCTCCTGGTACTGATGGGCAGAGTCCACCAGCCCCAGGCTTTCCAAGCGCCGCAGGTTGCGGATGATCTTGCGTTTCTTCTCCTCCATGGAGAGTTGGCCGTTCGCAGCCAGGGAACGGTTGCGTTTCAGCTTGGCAGGGGTCCGGGCATCCCGCAGAGCTCGTCTGTGCATGAGGTGGTCGTGGGAGGCTTCCTAGGGAGGAGAAGGGGGTGAGCCCGGCCCGGGGCTGGAATGGGACACGGGGAGACGGAGCACTCAAATACACCCTTTGATAGGAGTCTCTCTTGGCCCAAAACGTGTGTTTTCTCTGAAAGACAGAGCCCAGCCGCTTCTGGAGCGTAAGGGGGGGGAGCCACAAAAGGAGCGGGGCAGCTCTTTGGTAACGGGTTGGTTTGTCATTTCCCCGAGAAGTTTTTTAGCTCATCCCCAGCAGCAGCCTCGCACACATCCCACCTCGTGCTCCGAGGCCGTTGTCCACAGGATCTCCGGGAGGGAATCTCCTGCCTGGGACTGGATCACATCCACCAGCATCTGCTTGGTGCTGGAGACCAAGAGGGAGAGATCAGGCTCCAGACCATCACCCTCCTCCCACCAGAGCCGCGCAGTATTTAGTTGCCTCCCAAGGCTTTCTCGCCCCGTCTCCAGCATCCCAACCCCCAGCAAGCTCCCCTGAAGCCCCCAGAGCCCACCCTCACCTCAACAGCAAGCTCCTCGTGTCGTCCTCGCTGCTGGCCGCCGGCACCAGCTTGCCGGTGAGGGTAAGGGAAATCTCCGTTTTGCCGAGCTGGGAAAGCACCTGCTCGGCATTGCCGTCCGCCGGGCTGGCAACGCTCTCCCCTGCGAGGGCAGAGAGAGCCTAAGTAGCCACGTTGGGCTTCGGAGGGCTGGCTTCCCCATGCCCAAAGCAATCCAGCTAGAGCTTCAGGCAAGAAAAGCATCCCCATATCCATCTTTCTCCTACGGGTGTGGGTGGTGAACCCCAGACCTTCACCTACCGACGAGGGACTGGACCGTAGGAAGCTCATCGAGGTCTTCCAGAAGCTCGTGCAAGGGGTCTCCGTGGTGCGGAGCGATGGAGTCCTGGTGCTCGAGCAGGAGCTGGATGGTGCAAGGGACGAGAGTCAGCGGCAAAGGGGCGTGCAAAGAAACGGGGACCGAGGGCCGGTCGGGAACAAGGCAATGCTCTTTGCACCGGAGAGGGGACTGCGCAGTTTTGAGGTTCAGGGAAGGGCAAGAACCTGCAGAATCTGGATTATTTGCTTCCTTAAAAAAAAAAAATAAAGTTTTATGCTGTTACCTTGTGCGTGTTGATGAGCTCCCCCACCGTGATGTAGATGACCGGTTTGGCCACGGCCACCATCTCCGAGTACTCATCCACGTTAAACCTCTCTTCTGGCTCAGGGACACAGCAGGCAGCAGAGATGAACCTCCTGCAGAGAACAACCTCTTCGGTCAGCCCCAAAACCCCTGCCACCAGCTCGTAGCCGCCCTCCCACCCCGATGCCATCCTGGTGCCCACCTGAACTTGTTGTGGGTGTCCTCCAGGTACCGGTTGACCCCGCAGAGATGCGCGTTCTCCCCATCGAATGCCTTGCGGGCCGCCGCGTGCTGCAGCACTTTGGCGATGGAGCCCAGGCTGCGACGGTGGTCGGGATGCAGGGTCACCCCGGCCGAGATGTCCACGATGTCAAAGCCGTCGGGGGCCACCACCGCTGGGTTCATGAAGCGGTAGTAGAGCAGGTTCCCCACGACCTAGGGTACAAGACAGGCTGGGTACGGGGGAGAACGTGGGCTGGTGCCCGAGGAGGTGGTAGCTCAGCCGGGAAGGCGGCTTCGTCCTTGCGCTGCCCGGTGGGACCCTCCCGGAGGGGCCAGCAGCGCAGAGAAGAACCCACCATTGACATTTCCTCACCGGCTCAAGGAAAACATTGACTTGAAGGCCTTTTTAAGTCAAGAGGACTTGACCTTCTGTGGAGGGATACTGGCCTTTCACATGCACACACGGTTGAACCCCGCCAAGCCATGCAGACCCCCCCAGCCCCAGGGTACCTTGTCGATCTCCTCCGCCGAGGCCTTGGGGAATTTCTCAACCAAGGATGTCCTCAGGATTTTGGCCACGTAGCGCATCCCATAGCTGAGGAGAGGCCAGGGAGGGGTTCGACAGCATGTGGGGCAGCGCCAGGCTCGGCCACTCTGCCCCATCCCTACCACCCGTCACCCAAAAAGCAGCAAGCCCCCAGCCTTGGGGGGATGGAATTGCCCATAGCGGGGGCTGGCGGTTGCAGCATCCCTCAGCTCCTTCCCCTACCCTGCTGCCAGCCCAGACATCCCTGGAGGCAGCCTTCATCCTCCAAGATTAACACAAAGCTCAGCTTCTTCCTCACAGACACCTCAAGGCCAGTAGTAAAGCGCTCAGAAACAAAGTGACAAGATGACCCAGCCCACCAGGACCTCGCTGGAGGAGCAGAAGCAGCAGCGCCCGTGGATATTTGGATTTCCCCTCACTGACAGTCCAGTAACTCAGTCCTGCAGCAGCTAAGGGGCCAAGAAGCCCCCCACCACCCAACCTCCCTTTCTAAGGCCTTGCTGAAGCTCCCTTCAAGCCGACGGCGCTGCAGGGACGTGCACACAACCCATCGAGGTACGTACGGGATCTTGTCTACAGAAGAGGTGATGGCAGAGACAAACTTGTCCGTCATGGCGAGGAGGTTGCGGATAGAAATATCCAGTCGCCTTCGGACCTCGGGGTGGCTGAGAGCCTGCTCAGGGCTGACCTCGTACGGGAGCTTGCTGGGAACAGAAGACCAAGTTCCCATCACCATCCCGACGTCCATCACCCTACGGCTGGGCGAAACCTCCTTGCCCAGGGCCTGACCTTTTCTGCCCGCTCTGCGACTCGGTCTGGTTGATCCACCCCTTGTAGATGTCCACAGGGTTGGTGCGGATGTTGAGGGTCTTGTCCTGCAGGACCTCCTGCACCGGGCCACCCAGGATCTGCCGCAGGGCGTTCTGCCCACGCGCGTTACGGTAGAAGCTGACCACCAGCCGGATCACCGTGGCGTTCCCCGTCAGGATGTCATGGACGTGGTCCACCTTGGACCTGGGGAGAGAGAGGGGATGGAGATGGACCTGCGTGCATGTTCTCCGACGCAGGAGGCAGCAGCCGGAGGAGATAACTGCCTCCACGCTGATGGCTCTGGTCCAGCTTTTTTCCCCCAGACCTGTCCCCAAACCGGGGCACCCGTGGCCACCCACCTGATCTCCTCCTGCAGCGCTGCTTTGAAGAGCTGGAGCAGCAGGTAAGCCTCCCGTGGGTTGGATGCGTAGTTGTAAAGCGTAAAGATCACCGACTCCATGAACTTGGTGGACTTGTTCTGGGGCATCTGGAAGATCAGCCTGGCCAAGTACGCAGGCTGGGTCTGCAGGGATGAGGAACACCAAGCTAACCCCAAGTATGGAGGGGTGGCAGGGGACCAGGATCCCGGCACTGCTCCCCCAGCTGTGGGGGGACACAGCAGAGCCCCACCAGCCCCACCTGCAGCAGGTAGAAGAGATGCTGGTAGGCCTCCAGCTTCTGCCGCTTCTCCTTGCTGAGCGCCTTGAGCCCCTTCTGCTTGTCTAGGGACATCATCTCCGAAAGCTGCTCCTTGTTCTTCTTGGTCAGCTTCTTGCAGTGAGAGACCACCTCCTGGAGCCACGCCGGCAAGGAGAGAGAAGCATCGGTGACTGCCGGCAAGCTCCGGCGTTCAGCCCGGCTTCTGGGGAAAGGGAACCACAGGCACCTCCATCCTCCCCAACCCCTTCGACCACTTTGA